ATGTCTGCTGAAGAAAATAATCTGCCATTGATTTTAATGGACATTGGTTCAAACTCAGGATAATTCCTTCTTCTGTCTATAACCAGCAGAAATGATCAATAGACTCTAAAATGAGGATCAGACTTCAAATCCTGCTGGTCAATTATCTAACCATCTATTTCCTGTTTCCAAAGTGGTCATGAAATAGGCTGCAATGTATTCCTATTTCCAGGGTAATTTCTCTGTCCCAGGCTCTTCAACCAAGATTTGGAGAAGAAACTAATGATTTGGAGGTCCTCACTGGGCCATCTTAACTGTGCCTGATTTTCAGAAGGTTCTGATCATTCACCTTCTGAATAATCAATCTCCTCTTGCATGTCTTAGGCTGGGCACCTAAAAATTTTGGCACTTGTCTCTAGATGTTTCTTCAAATGTTGGCCTCTGAATTTAACAATTAAATCAAACACAGAGGGGACAAAAAAAAGGGGGGGAGTGACAAAGGGAAGAAGAATATATGATGTTGAATTTGCCTATGATGGGGGGGGTTGCTGAGCACAGAAGAGGGATATGGGGTGGGTAGGCTCACCCAGAGCCACATCTGATGCGGGGGGGGAGGGCAGCCTCACTCCCCAACAGCTACAGAATTAACACTCACAGGTGCCATTGAACTGTAGGTAGAACAGGACTGTGAAACCCTTCAACTGACAGCAGCTGTGACAAGATTAACCTAGTACCTGTTGGCTGGGCACCTCCTCCAGCAGCAGCACCAGCAGCAGCTCCCAATGGATAGCGGGGGTGGCACTAACAAAGGAACTCTTGTCCCAGCTCCGCACTGCTGCAGCCTACAGCCTCCTGCTGCCACGCTAGTGCCTCCTGCCTCCATTCTGGAGCCACCCCATTAGTCAGCAGCCAGAGCTTATGCCCCCTACCCCATCCCTCATTATGTTATTGGTTTTGGTTAAAAGTAGAAACAAAGCACACTGAAAATACCCAATTCCTAAATCAAAACCTTTGCAAGTCCTTGGTTTATATAGATTTAGTCAGATATATAGACAATGAATAGCTCAGTACTATCTGTAAAACAACTAATACCTCTCTGTCTCTTCCTTGCTATCCTGGCAGAGATTTGTTAGTAGTCTTTCCTGGAGTTATATCTGGCATCTGCATTTAAAAGTGCTAGCAGAATGATATCATCTAGGAGCACTTCCTGAATTGGGAGTTAGGACTATTGCAGGTACCCAAAGCAGGTTTTCTATGGCCTTCTTCTTGAATGTTGATCTCCTCCTCCCACCTGATCATTGGCAGGAGGTGCTAAACTTGCCATCTTTATGACACAGTTGTCAGTGGGCCATCACGCTCCTCCCATTACACTGAACAAGGCAGTCCACCTGGCCCTGCTTGCTGTTAGTGTGAAGGGAGAAATGAAATGTGGCTCACATACCACCTCAGTAAGAGAAGAGACTCTGGGCACAGCTTTCCTTAGCATGTTGTCTTTGACTTAGCCACACAAATTAAATAGGCTCCTCTTTATGTGACAGTAACACTTTGCTCTTGTACAACACCTTCCATCCAACAATCTCAACAGCAATAAAAACCTCTCCCAACTCCATTTCAAAGTTGGAGAAACAGAAGCACAAAGTGATTAGTGGCTGAACCAGGAACAGAATACAGGTCTCCTGATACTTTGTCTTGGACTTTAAAAATAGGACAAACTTTTTTTCCGTAATTATAATATATCAAAATGCTCTGAAATACACTCTACTCAGCTGTACCCCATTCTACATCATCTCCACTTGTTGGATGTACTCACAGCAAACGCATGGAAGAGGACTGTGCAAACTTTACAACTAAACCCCTGATCTTGTTTGTGAAAGCCACATCACTTCCCCCTTGGAGATCCTCTTTGTTGCTGTGCTATATCCTGAGGTATCAGGGCTGAGACTGAGGTAAAGGTGAAAAAAGAAAATGGAACCTCAAGAAGACCCAGTCTTGCCACTCCTGAGCAGAAAAAACGGTAGGTCATCTGATTCACTGAAGCCCCTTCAGTTGCTGTGACTTAACCTAAGTAGATGTGACCAAAGATGCAAAGTGTGTGTGTGTTCCAGTTTATTTCACAGGTGTGATACCATATATATTACTCTGACTCACCTATTTGTTCTGTGGTAACTTTAGGAAGAGTCCTGAGGATGCTTCTATTAGTAGGACTGGGCAGCTGGAAGTTCCAGTGGCTACATCCTCAGCTAGTGGGCACACATTTTTCAATAAAAGTTTTGTGTAAACAGTTTTGCCGTAGTTTAAAAAGTACTGCCTAATAGTCAATGTAATGACCATTGTAAAACTGTATTTAATTTAATTCCATGCTTTGTCTTGAATTTGGAATTTGATTGTCTAAAGCAGAATTGTCAAATATGCACCTGGATTATTCACATGCATATATGTTACATATGTGTTTTCAGGAGTTATGTAGAGCCTAAACTTGCCTCTTAAAAAAAGAGTTAAGTTTCTATCCATATGGGTTGCAAAGATTATATTAATTTAATTGCTGATCTCTTTAGCAGAAAGGATGGGGGAATGAAGCTGAAGGGGTATTGGAAAAGGAGAGTTGTTGTATGAAAGAGAGATTAATTCACCCCTTTTCCAAAGCTGAGTCCAACACCCCAGACTTCCAGTATGAGCCCATCACAAAAGTGGAAGACTCAAGAATTTTACCTTTTTGAGACTAGTTTTCTCCATTTAAACAGAACTTGACATGACAAGCCTTTCTCCAGCTTCTGCATTTGTCCTCTATCAGGCAGGACAAAAAATGCTTTAGCACCTCCTTTATAATCCAGCTGCAGCACTGTAGAAGACAGCTGCCTGTCATAGCCATATTTAAACATGCCCATCCGGAACATCATTGGGACTTTAATAACTGTGTTCTTATCCACAAAAAAGTCCCTCTCTTTAGTGTATTTGCGATCAAACTGTTTTTCCCAGCCAGCTGCAGATTTAAAAAAAGGAGAGAGAGAATGAGTTACAATTTCTGAAAATGAGAAATCACGGGGTATATCGTCAGCTAGTGTGAACTGCTGTAGTAGCATTCATTTGAGAGCTGTAACACTTCACAAAAACTGAGGGTCTGCCCTTAATTTTATAAATCAGAATAATTCAACATTAATATGCATATGATTAAGTAGGAAGAAGTAGGATGTAGCTAAAAAAACCTCTAAAGCTACTATGTAGGAAAGGATAGTGTCTTCACCTGGAGCATACACCAATTCAAATGTCTCTGCACCAGGAACCTGCCAGGCACAGTTTTGAGTGATGAGGCTTAATACATTCCCCAGTGTCCTATTAAGGGAGGTGGATTTTCCTGTTTGGCAGTAGCCTTGAAGTGCCTGTGAAACATGGAGGATATTCTATTCTATGAAACCTCTTTTATACCCTGTAGACGAGGGGAAGAAAAAGGATGCCACTCAATTGCAGAGTATCTCCCTTAGTTAGTCCCACACCAAGACTAGTTTGCATGCATTTGCATCAAGAATATATGCACAGCTTGGGATGGGAAGCCATTAGGTCCATTCCTATTCCTTTCCTAAGTGATATTAAAATTGTGACTCATCATGCTGCAATCCATGCCTACCAGTTACGGTGACAGGATCCTTATGAATACCTCAGACAGACTGAGAATTTAGTTCCAAATGAACCTTACATAACTTCCTTTTTTTCAAGTGATTATTTCCCCTTCAAACTACAGATTGTTCAAGTAGAAAACTGGTGGAAAAGTTGCCTTTATTGACTGACACAAAAATTCACCTTTTAAAAATTTTTTTCTGTCCCAAGCAAGTATAACAAGTTGAAATATCATTTTTTTTTGTGGCAGAGAAATTGTAATGAAATTTAAGGTAAAAAAACTTAAAATATTCCAGTTCCACATTTCTGATCAAATGAGTTTTGGCCTCCCCAAATGAAATGTTGAACTGAATCACAATGTTTCCATTTCCCCATAAAATTAATAGTTTGATATTATCTTCTGCCCAGCTGAGCTACTGTCATTCTCCTTAATGGAATAAGCTGTGTGCTTGGACCCTACTTTCATGGGATCTGCAGCAACTCGGGCGGACAGAGACTGATATCCAACTGACATAAAATGAAATGCTTGATTTGTTTCTACAAAGTGAACCCTATGACTCAGCTCACCTCCATACAAAATAAAATATTTCCTTCAGATTTTCCAGGTGGGAAGTAAAAAGTTGGCAAAATCAAATTTCCCATTTACTATTTCAAGTTTTTGGAAACTGCATTTTCCACAAGGAAAGAAAAAATGACAAAGAATGCCAAACTAATAAAATTCAGATCTGTATCTGTTTCATACTGTCCAGAAGTAATCCAGAAATACCTTGTTTCTGATTACTTACTAGTAGTAGCAGACCTTTCTAACAAATATACAACAAACTTTGATCCAGTTGAGTAAACCATGAACTGAGATTCTAACACTTCTAAACTCTAATCTTTGCTCTGCTAACGAATCACTGTGAAGTCATTTACACATCAATTTACCATCTTTTGATTCCCTGTCTATAAAATGAGTATAACGCTACTTACCATGAACTTAATAAGAGTGCAGTGAGAATTCATTACTGCTTTTACAAGACTTCAAATATATAAAATGCTGAGCATTTTGAAGACAAAAGGAGATGTATTACTTGGTGGCAGAAATGTCTTTGTGAACAGCACAATTAATAAGATAATTTTGTTCATGCAAGTTTTACAGTAGATCAATCTGCTAAAAATATGCTCCTAATTTTTTTATCATCAGGTCCAGAAAGCCCAGAATGGGTCACAAAAACTGTTGGCAAAAGTTACAGGCCCAAGTCCTAAGGTACAGAGAATGTACAAGTTTCTAAAATTCAAATATAATTTATAGAAGCACCTGAACTTCAAGATTGTTCTCCAGATCAAACCTAGACCCTAACCAAACCTTCTCATTTTCCATGCACAATTACCAGTAGTTAAGATTTTAAGGTTAGGCCCTCACATTTTCTTTAAGACTGAAAAAAACCCCAAGTCTAGTTTTCCACTAAATCAGAGCTGGGAAGTCATTTCAGGTAAGGAACTTAACATTTTGGCTAAGGTCAATTGTCACAATAAATACATTTTTAGGACAGATACAGCAGATACCTGTAGTTGTGTATGCATGATGTGCAAGTCCTTATTTCTTTTCCTATGTTAATTTATCTCTAATATTAGAATGTATCATGCTTTATTAAGATTATAACTCAGCTTTACCTTACATGTAGTATTTTGTTTGCATTCCTGTTTAATTGTTTGGGTGGGCACAATTCACAATTTTTGCCCAATATAATGACAGGAAGGAATTCCTGGTACCTGTTAACTAAAAGTCCATCATGAAGATGTTACTTGGAAAGAAAAGAGATGCATTTGGAATGACAGGGCTGCATGAATCGACTGGACTACATTCAAACTAGCTTTACCAGTGTACAGCCAATCCCTTCAGAAACTGAAACAAATAAAGAAATGCAGTACAAAAATGACAGAAAAATACTAATGCTTTAAATTTTGCTTAAATTTAAAATTGGAAAAACTATCAGTGGAATAATAGTCAAATAATACTTTACAAAAACACTACTGATGTTTTTGAAAAGATAATGAAATATTTCAGACTGCAGAAGTCGGGAATGATTCCTTGTGCCAGTGTAATTACTCACGTACATAAATACTGATAGAGCTGTGGCCCTGGGAAGATGCAAAAGTTCTAGTTATTGTATGTGTTTTTGGACACACAACACACTGAGCTCCTGAGCAACATCTGAGTAAATACAAGGTTTTTCTTCTAGTTAAGATTTCATGTTTACTAGAATAGTATTCTATGAACTGAACTCAGAACATACTTCACAAGGAAGAACTTAACTATCCCTATTCAGCAAAGCTTGTAAGCATGTGCTTTATCTCCACTAGATTCAGTAGGATTTACAGGTATAAGTGGTCATTTGAATAGGGATGCTCTCCTAAATCTAGGCCTACTTAAGTATACATTTTATTTACCTTTCAATCAGAAAAATAGATCTGATGGTGTTTTATTTATAAGCATCAGAGCTGATTTGAAAACAGGAAGATTTTTCACCTTATTTTTTGCCAAAACATCAATAGCTCCAATCAGAAAATAATTTCTTTTTAAAACACGTTGACCAGCTCTGTTCATAACTAACAGCATGAGTAAGCTGTCAAGACAAGCAAGCTACCATTTCCCCTCACAAATAGTGTTTTAAGGAGCACAAAGGCTAGGGACAACCTGCAAGGTAGGAAACCCGGAGACATGTCTTACCTTTAAAGTAAATAAAGCTAACAAGAAGAATTTCAGTTAACTGATCAATATTATTGACCAATTGGACAATTTTCCCATTAGTTTTTTCATTTACATATCTGTTGATCTTTTTCTCAGCTTCTTTAGTATATCTGAAGTTTACTGGAAAAATTTCTTCTCCACAAACAAGGTTGAGATTGTTTCGAAACTGCTGTAAAAGTCGGAGTTCTTCCGTCACAAACATGACATTTCCCATATCCAGCTCAATGCCATTGGTCTGGTGGTTTAACTTTTGCATGAGATTGCAAAAACTGTCATGAACTTCCTCCTCCTGAATCCCTTCTGGGTTAAACCCGAGCCCTCTAAGAATCTGGTGCAGAGTCTCCGATTTAGCTCCCAGAGCTAACATCGCCAAAGTACTGGTTATGCTGATGGGTGAGAAAAACACGTTCTCTTTGTTCCTGGAAGTTACTGTTTCCTTGTAGAAGCATAATGCAAATTGGCAAATGCTGTTTTGTATCTTGTGAGCCCACGTATTTTGGCGGCTTACACCTGGATTGAGTTCAGAGTGGCTATTGTAATGAGGGTACTTTGAATCCTGTGGGCAAGGTTTGTTAGCATGAATCCCAGCAAGCAAAAAGCACAGGCAAAAAAGTGACTTCATTTTCTATAATTCTGTAAGAAAATAAAATCAGATATTTCCTTTAATCATCTTAGTAATTGTTCTTTTTACCATGAGCATAATATGCATGCACTATCTGGCACCAAAGACCACAAACTATTTGAATTCTTTGGATATTATATTACTGTAGACTTGGAGATAACAGCATTTTATTTTAAGGGAACAAATGATGTAAAATTACTGAATCTACTGAACAAGGAAGAAAAAAAGACTGCTGTCAGTAAGCATAGAAAAGGCTGAAGTAACTTAAGAAATATCAGAATTAGCGTATGACAGACTAGAGACTTGTAGTTCTTTATGTTTTGTTTTTTCTCTAGCTTTATGATGGACTGATTGTAAACCTGAGGGTTAAAAGGAGTATATAATAAAAACTGGTAAGAGAAGGAAGCTAATCAAGGATATTCAGTTACATTTTGCAGACAAAGAGAAAGGAAAATAAAGCAATATTGATGTTAGAGAAAGGGAAATGGAGAAGCTTCCACAAGTGGATTGAGGGAGAGAAAGTAGACCTATTCATTAATGAAAAGAAGATGAAAAAAGAAAGTTTCTTCAATGCTGAGCAAGTGAACTGCTTTTTCAATGTCTGTACTGAATGAGGGAAAGAAAATTTCTCTGGGTGGTTAGTATGTCATAAAACCCTTGTTAAATGTGATGTAGCTTTTGGTAAAAAGGCAAACGTTTTGGCAAATACATAGAAAATGTACACCTATATAAAGCTGCGCATTGCTTGCACTTCCTTACCAAAGCATTATGGGAACAATCGAGTGACTGTACCAAACTGCTAATAAATACTTTTGAAACATCACAGAGAATAAAGGAGATACCATAGCACAGAACAAGCAAACCTCATAACAAGTAAGAGCAAAGTGTGATTCTGGCTGGGGGTGTTTAGGGAGGGCTGGTAAGTCTGAAATGGCAAGTTCTTGAGAAAACATTTATAGCAGAACTCTGGATGGTGCCCATGGAAAATGACAGTCACTGAAACAAGTGTTGTGGGAACAATCAATGCCAAAATACCCAGATAATATCCTTAAATACTGAAATCATCAGGCATCAACTACACCTAAATGCAGTGTCCAGCTTTGATCAATTTGTTGGATAAAAAACAAACAGGGTGGAAATCTATGGGACCAACCCAGACAATGTGTGACAGTCAGCCACTCCACAAAGAGATAGCTTCTAAAATACAATGCCTTTATGAACAAACATTTCACCAAATTCTCCAAAACCCAACTAGCCTTGAAGCTGCTACCTCCTTAACCCACTCTGTTATTTACCTACCCTTCACATTTAAAATTGCCCAGATTCTCTCTTGGCCTTTTCTTTCCTCCTCTAGCCTCTGCCTTCTGTATACAGATCCTCCAGAGGTTACTCTTCCTTGTATTCTCCAGTAGCTTTCAAGAAATCTTGTCTCATCACCTCTCTGTCCCAATATGATAAACAACATTTGGTACTAAAAAAATATTTAAGTCCTTCAAACATTTTACTGGTGCAGTTTCCCTTCAAGGGAATATTGAATACAAAGATGTACTACATTGCAGATTTTTCTTCAAGGCTAAAACTGAACAAAGGCAACCTGCATGTGTATAATTCCACAGACAACTTTTCAGGCATTATTTTGCATGTAGATAACATGATTTATAATTCTCCAAGGAAAAAGCATTACTTACAGCACAGTCAGAAGGGCCCTGTCAAATTTACTGGGTCTGTGCTTCTCCTTGCTCTGTTGTCTATGGTACTGAGCAGAAAGCAGGGTATCCTCTAGTAAAGATTTAACTAGATCATCCGGAGGCTATGACTCATAATTTATAATTTCAGCGATTAGGCAGAGTGAATGATGAAACTAGTTTTACTGGGCATTTAACTTCACTGAATATGCATATCCCACATATGACTTTGTTTTCATTATTCATAATCATCTGATTCTCCTGCTCAGATTCAAACATGCTGTATTTAAACTGAGCCTACTGAATATCAAGATCAAGTACCCTTCCACATCTCCATTATCAAAATCTTTCATTTTTTATAAGCAAAGGAACACATAAAAGATAACAATTAAATCCAAAGGTACTGATTTAGGTTTGAATGACTGTTAGAGTGCTGCAGTGCTGCATCTCATAAGGTATTTGTTTGCTGAAGTCAGTCTGAAAAGACCACTTGAATCTGTGGAGCAGTATGCATGGGGCGTGATCTAGCTCCAGCAGAAGATAATTATTACTACTACTACTGGGACAGATCTTTAGTCCTGCTAAAAAAACAAAAGCAGCCCTAAATCTGGCTTAAAGACCTCCTGGAAAATTCCCACCCATCTCTCCTCCCCACCCCCCACCCCTGCAAGGCAAATATTCTAGTATTATTAGATTGATTTGGGGCCCCTCTGTCACTCCCATATCATGATATGTTGCTATAAGAAAGAGGGTATTGTTGGCATATACCCCACTGTATCCAGTTGATCCCTTGATGGGCAGGTGAATGAGAGTCTAACTAGGCTGGTCTAGTTTATGCCAAGGACTAAACTGATATCTTGTTGCACTGGACTTTAGAGAGCATGCCCCTTTGTCCTTGCACTACATGTCATTGGGTCAGACTAGAGAATCTGGCCTGCATTATTTAGAATCTAAGCCTTTTACTGAGATGTCAAAGCAGACTCAGACCTGAGAGTGCAAAACCAGAGCTTCCATCTGTGTGTCTTCATACAACAGGGTGTTACAGAAATTCAAGATAGCTTGCTATATTTTACCCTTAAAATTACTGAATAATAAACAAGAGAGAATGGTTATTTGGTTGAAACAATGAATTGGCAACTGAGAAGATCTGATCTCAGTCCCTGTCTCTACCACAGATTCCCTGTGTGACTTTTGGCAAGTCACTTAAACTTCTTTGTTCCACAGTTCTGCATCAATAAAATGGACACAATAATATGTCCTTTTCTCCATCCTTATCTTGTTATCTTGTAAACTTTTTTGGGAAGGGACCATCCTGTACTTTGTAGTATGTAGGTAAAAAGTTGTGTGTGAAACTGGGGCCTTGAGGAGTCATTGAAATACAAACCACAACATTAATCAGATACAACTTTGTGGGAGTTATGTATATATCAGGTTAGTGCTCAGTCGCTCAGTCATGTTCAATACTGGATACCTTCAACTTCTGTTGAAGTCCAGGAGACTAAAGCCATGAAAGCCGAGGGTTATTGGCACGTATGGGGGTATTCAACACCTTGCAGAACTAGTCCCTTCTAGGGAAAAACAAATGTGTTTTAGAACTGAGAACTGAGAAATAGAAGGCTTTACTGGACACAAAACAGAGTCTATATCGCACGTGATTCTATGCAGGCATGGTATTCACTTGAGAGAGTATTATGATTTCTATTTTTAGTGCAGCTTGCTTAGTGGAAATACCAGGAATTTTATTCAGAAGGAAGCCAAATGAAACACTGATGCCATGCTAATAACAAGGTGATGTCTGAGTACATAGGCTATATTTAAACACACACCTAAACCACACCTCAGAATGCTTGCAGGAGAAATACTTTATACTCAATGTGCATTTCAAGCAAGGGCAAACAGACACTCAGAAAAGTAAATCCATGAGATCTATTCTTTTACAGTGGGAGTATGAATTTCCTACCACTAGTGGCAGATAGCACAGAACTGAAGTCTGCATTTGCCTTTCATGTGGGATTATCTCCAGCATCCGGTTACAAACAAATTAGATAAAGAAGACAGTAACATAACTCCTGACTCATAGAAGCTCTTGCCTACTCATAGGAACTCTTGTTTCAATTTCTAGTCTGACACTTGATGTTGGTGCTGGTGAGTAGCAGAGATTTGTTGCCAATAGTATAGCAAGAGGTTCCCAAGCACCATAGGTACAACTCTGTCAGGGCTAGCAACACAGATCATCAGCTGCTATCAGCAATCTATAACATAATGAATTACATCTTCCAAAGTCCTGTTTTAAGCAAGGCTCAATCAGACAGTGATATCAGAAGGTGACCTCTCTTTACTAGGTCATCCACATTCTCAATGACCAATGTCATTGAACAACTGTTGGCACCAGGGGAATTCACACTTTTCAGTCTGTTATAGGATTTTTTAACAGGTGCTGCATACCCAAGAGCACCTACCAGAAAATCATCAGCAATAAAGCACTTCCAAGTACCCTGGAATGCCAAATAACCATGTGAGCTTTCTGATGTAGCCCTGACAGAACTCCTCCTGCTTGGTCATTCACCACACAGTTGCATTTCATTCCCAGAACAGTAAATGCATGCTCTGAAGCTTCCCTTGCTCCAGGCAGCTTGGATCACCCTTTCTTCCTTTGGCCTCTGGTACAGGTCTGTCTCTTGTCCGATCACAGAACTGTAAACTTGCTGCTCACCTGCCTTTGGTTCTCGTACACCCTCCCTCCACTCTCCCCCTCCCTCTCCCCAGCAAGACCCCAGTAGCTTAAGCACACCCTTTTCCACAGCTCCAAACTTGTGGGTACTCTGAGATTTCATTTCATCCACCCTTCAAGGACACAAGTATTGAAAACAAACAGGCTCAAAGATATTTTAGCAATGCCTAAATATGTTCTGTCTTTACTTTAAGCAGCACAAGAGATACATAGGTTTAGACATAATAATATACAAATATTTATGCAGTTGCATGACTCAAGTGCTATCTAGGGCTGTCCAACCTGTGGCCCACAAGGAGTTAAACTTCAGGCCCACAGGCTCCTGCCTGGTCACTATTCCCTCTGTTTTATTTAGCATTCTGTGGCCCACTTGTCATAGATTAATCATTACATAGCTCAGCTGCTATTACATTATTGTGATTGGCATTTGTGACTG